GCTCCTGGCTTCAGGTCGGCACAGAGCCGGCCATGGTGGCCATTTGGGGAGTGAACCAACGGAAGGAAGACCTTTCTCTCTGTCTCTTTCTCACTGTCTATAATTCTACCTGTCAAATAAATAATTAACTATGGCTACAACAACTTCACAATGGATAAATAATAGAAAACTGCAAATTATGATGTCAAAGCACAAAATATATGGAGGGGAGCAAAAAAAACCGAGTCTTTGTGTGCAATTAAAGTTCTGTTGTCATCAGCTTAAAATTATACCATCCAAACTGCAAGATGTTTTATGTCAGCTCCATAGCCACAAAACAAAAACCCACAGCAGATACACGAAAGACACAGAGAAAGGAACCAAGCCATGACACCAGAGAAAACAATCGAACAACAAGGACAGTGAGAGATGAAGAAAAGAAGCACGAAACAGCCACTGCAATGTAAGTCTTTATAAACAACCACCTGCGATGTGAACAGGCAGTCTTCCCTAATCAATGTGGCTAAATGGATTTGAAAAACGAAACTCAAAGTGGGCCTGTGATCTGGTGGCTGAGACACCTGATCAGATGCCTGCATCCCACATTAGAGTACCTGGGCGTGACATCTGGCCGTGGCTCTTGACACCAGCTTCCTGACAGTGTAGGTCCTGCGAGGCAGCAGTCCTGGCCTGAAGAATTGGTTCCTGCCACTCTGGCCAGAGACCTGGGTTGAGTTCCTGCCTTCTGACTTCATCCCTACTTCACCCATTTTGGGTATTTGGGGAATGAACTAGGAGAGGGGAGCATGCACTCCCTCTCTCTCCTTGTTTCTCTGTCTCACTGCCTTTGAAAGAAATAAAAAACTTTTTCTAAAAACAGTATTTAACTATATGCTACCTACAAGAGACTCCCTTTAGCTTTAATAGCAAACAAATACTGACACTGTGAAAGGGAAGAAGAGATATTCTACGCAAATGGAAAATGAAAAAAATCAAGGATAGCATTATACTTCTATAAGACAAAACAGACTTTAAGTCAAAAGTTAATTAACAAATTCAATAGTTGCAGAACACAAAGCCAACATATAAAAATCAGTACCGTTTCTATACAATAAAAACAAATTATGCAAAAAGAAATTAAGATAACAATACCATTTACAGTAGCAACAAAAAGAGGCCAGCGTTGTGGTGCAGCAAGTTAAGCTGCTGCCTGTGAGGGGCACCATATGGGTGCCAGTTCAAGTCCTGGTTGCTCTACTTCCGATCAAGCTCCCTGCTAGTGTGCTTGGGAAAGCAGCAAAAAGATGGCCCAAATGCTTGTGCTTCTAAGATGGCTGAATTCAATAAGGTTCCTAAAAAGTCAATGAGCTAATTGGCTTCAGCGTGTCCCTAGAGCTGGGGGACAGGTGGTATGTCACAGAGGTGGATGACATGAGCTCCCTGTTACCTGATCATGCAGCTTGCTGGTGCCTGCTGGATTTACTGATGTTCGGTTCTAGATGTACTTCTTCCCATCCAGACCCATCCCAACGTGTGGCTTGGTAGGTGCAACAGAACTTAACTCTTGAGGAATAGTTCTGCTTTATTTCTTTTTAAAGATTTATTTTATTTATTTGAAAGGCAGAGTTACAGATTCACACACACACACAGGCATATGCACTCAGAGAGAGAGAGATAGAGAGAGAGAGACCTCTTCCATCTGCTGGTTCAGTCCCCAAATGCCCACAGTGGCCTGGCCAAAACCAGGAGACTGAACCTCCAGCTGGACCCGCACCTCGGGCAGTTGCCTGACTCCCCATGCCACAGTGCCAGCCCCTAGTTTAGGTCTTAAAGTTCTTGCTATTCCATAGGGAGGATCTTCTCTCTAATAGGGCCTAGTTGTTTTTTTAAAGATACAGAATTCCGTCTTGCAGTTGGTATGACTATCACTTAGGCTGTAGGCTGTGATTTCCCCAATGGGACCTGTTATGAAATTCACACGTTGCCTTTCCTACCACTGATATGCTAGCTCTATAGAGTCCTCCGGGTCATGTGGTCAGGGGTTTGCCCTGAGCCTAGATACGATGCAGGGTCTTTTCCTTTCATGGGCCCCACAAATGGCATCCTGTGTCATCCAGTATGGGAGTGGAGCACTGCCTCTAGGAATACCGTGCCTTCAGGACCAGAAGGGGCCTACCCAGTAGGCATTGCCTGCGCTTCTTGTGATGGGAGCTCCCTGATGAAGCTGTTTCTCTATCAGTAAGGAATATCCCAGCATGCCCCAAGTCAGGGACTAAAAAATGACTTGTGTGACAGGTTCCTGAATCGTTTGTGGTTTTACAGATTTATTTATTTATTTATTTGAAAGGCAGAGCAACAGAGAGAGAGGGAGAGGTACAGAAAGATCTTCCGTCTGCTAGTTTACTACCCAAATGGCCACAATAGCCAGTGCTGGGCCAGGCCAAAGCCAGGGTACAGGAACTCCGTCTGAGTCTCTCTGATGGGTGGCAAGAGCCTAAATACTTGACCCATCACCCACTGCCTTTCTAGCCCCAGTATCAGGAAACTGGATCAGAAGTAGAACAGCTGAGACTTAAACCAGCACTCTGATATGGGCTGCCAATGTTGCAAGTGGTGGCTTAGCCTGTTGCACCACAATACCAGCTCCAGACTCCCGAGTCTTCTAAGGTTTGTCTCCTTCAACACTGCATGTGAATTATCAAGCCTCCAACCTCCTAATGCCTTCTTGTTCATATGGTCCAACTAGGAATTATTAAAGTCATGTCATGGATTTATTAGACCAGCGTGATATTCCTTCGATATCTAACTGGTCCGTGTCTTTTCAGACTATGTCATGATGGAGGACACCAGAGTGAACCCAGCTCTGCAGCACAGAGGTAAATGGATACTGTCACATATCCCCAAAGAATGTAAATTTTTTATTGTACTTTTGACAGGGATAGGGAAAGAGGTTTTTTTTTTTTTAAAGATTTATTTATTTATTTATTTGAAAATCAGAGTTACACAGAGAGAGGAGAGGCAGAGAGAGAGGTCCTCCATCCGATGGTTCACTCCCCAACTGGCTGCGATGTCCAGAGAGGCAGGAGCCAGGAGCCAGGAGCTTCTTCCGGGTCTCCCACATGGGTGCAGGGGCCCAAGGAGTTGGGCCATCTACTACTGCTTTCCCAGGCCACAGCAGGGAGCTGGATTGGAAGTGGAGCAGCCGGGTCTTGAACCGATGCCCATATGGAATGCCAGCGCTTCAGGCCAGGGCGTTAACCCGCTGTGCCATAGTGGGAAAGAGATTTGCCAGATCCCTGGCCACATATCATATACCTTAGGCTATGATAATCTGCTCTTTTTAAGGCTAGCTAACATTCCACATCAGTGTAGATGGCATTTTGTTGATCTGTTGATCTGTTAGTGGATATTGGGATAGTTTCCACCTTGGCTGCTTGTGAGTAATGCTGCTATGAACATTGCTGTGCATGAGTTCCTGCTTTTAATTCTCTGGGGGTATATACCCCAAAATGGAAGTGCTGATCACACAATAATCTGTCTTGCAATGTTTTGAGGAATCTCTATATTGTTTTGCACAGCAGATAAACCATTTTTCATTTCTATGAACAACAGACAAGGTTCCTAATTTCCATACATCCTTGTTGACACTTGCTGTGTTCTTTTTGAAAAACAGTAGGCCAGTGCTGCTGTGGTGTAGCGCCGGTTCTAGTTCCAGCTGTTCTTCTTTGGATCCAGCTCTCTGCTATGGCCTGGGAAAGCAGTAGAAGATGGCCCAAGTGCTTGGGCCCCTGCACCCACGTGGGAGACCTGGAAAAAGCTCCAGGCTCCTGGTTTTGGATCGGCGCAGCTCCGGCCATTGCAACCATTTGAGGAATGAACCATCAGATAGAAGACCTCTCTCTCTTTGTGTCTCCTCTCTCTATATATATCTCTTTCAAATAAATAATCTTTTTTAAAAAAGGAATAATCCTCTTACTGGGTGTGAAGGGGTAAGTCACTGTGCTTTTGCTGTGCTTTTCATTGATGATTAGTGATGCTGCGTATTCATGGGTTTGTTGGTCATTTGCATATTTTCTTTAGCAAAAAGCCTGTTCAAGTCTTTTGTCTCTCCCTCTCTGTAACTCTGCCTTTCAATAAATAAAATACATATTTAAAAAATATTTCATGCTATTCTTTGGTTTGTCTTTTTCCTTTGTTGATTACTCTTTAATGAACATTTCTTAATTTTCATGAAATTCAATTTGGGAAGTTTTCAGACATTGTTTCTAGAAATATCTTCTGTTTTCTCCTCTGGGACTCCCATAGCATGTATATTGGTCCACTTGATGGTGTCTCAACATCCCTTAGGCTCTGATCATATTTCTTCAATCCTTTCTCTATTTGTCAGACTTTGTAATTCCTTTCATTCCTTTTTCCAAAAAAAAAAAAAAAAAAAAAAAAAGATTTGTTAGGACTAACACCTTGCATAAGAGGTTAAGCCGCTGCTTGCAATGCAGCATCCTATATAGGTGCTGGTTTGAGTCCCGGCTGCTCCACTTCTGATCCAGCTCCCTGCTGAAGCTCCTGGGAGCTTTAACATCTGTGATTATTGCCATTAAACCTCATTCAAAAAAAGGCAGTTTCTGCTGATTTATTCTTTTACCTTTGGGCCATATTATCCTGTTTCCTTGCATGCCCTGTGGAGTTTGTTTTTGAAAACTGGACATTTGAATTTCATAACATTAACTCTGAAAATCAGATTCTCCCCATTCCCCAGGGTTTGCTGTGTTTATTATTTGTTATCTTTTTGTTGCTGGAGTTCCTCCCTGTGCCAGGGACCAGGCTAAGTTGTAAATTTATGGTCCTCTGAGATCTTTTCTGGGACTTTCTTGGGGCATATGCAATCACTTTCTACTATTCCCTTGTGTGTGTCCTTTTTAATGTCCTTGTGTCTGATCTCCAGCTCCAAATGGGGGAGAAAGCAAAAGGGAAGGAAGGGTATTGGTGGGCACCTCCATGATCAGAAGCAACATTCACTCTCTGGGCTTGGACCTAGGTGGCGGCGCTATGGCGAAACGCACCAAGAAGGTCGGGATCGTGGGTAAATACGGGACCCGATATGGCGCCTCCCTCCGGAAGATGGTGAAGAAGATTGAGATCAGCCAGCATGCCAAGTACACTTGCTCCTTCTGCGGCAAAACCAAGATGAAGAGACGAGCCGTGGGGATCTGGCACTGTGGCTCCTGCATGAAAACAGTGGCTGGTGGTGCCTGGACATACAACACCACTTCTGCCGTCACAGTGAAGTCTGCGATCAGAAGACTGAAAGAATTGAAAGACCAGTAGAGGTGCCATATGAGACAGCAGCAGCCTATAATAAATGGGTTAATTTATATATATATAAAAAAAGCAACAATCAGCGATCAGACCAAAGTTCCTATATTGGAAGACATGATGCTGTTTGCACACTCTGGTTACTACAAGTCGTTCTAAGCTCTTCTGGGAACTTACATACTGCAACCCGCATATGGCTTTAGAGTAAGAACAGATAGCTACCACCATGGTAATAGCTGAAATTTACTGAAAACAACATCAACTTACACTCCAACTCTTTCCTGGAAGCTGTAAACCTTCAACAGACTCCTGAGTTCCAAGATAGCTAACATCAGATAGATTCTGCCAGCACACTGTTCTCTAAGTGGAGACACCGATTCCTCAAACTGCCCACTCTGCCGTGTTCTCCACCTGACCCCAGAGTGTTCCAGATACACCTTTAAACGTTGATTGATTTATTCACAACAGAGAGATATCTTCCACCCACTGGCATGCTCCCCAAATGGCTGCAACAGCCAGGGCTGGGCCAGGCTGAAGCCAAGAGCCAGGAATTTCATATGGGTGCCCTTTGTGGGTGGCAGAAACCCAGCATGGAGGCCATCCTTTGTTCCCTCCCAGGTGCATTAGCAGGAAGTTGAATCAAAACTATGGAGTAGCCAGACTTGGCACCCTGACACAGAATGAGGGCATCCCAAGCAGTGGCTTCACCCACTGTCACAACACCCACACCTGCATCTTTAACGAATCTAAATCCACCCTGATTCTGAGGTCAGAGTGTCTTTTAATATTGCTTGCACACAGTTTGGTTGGTAATGAACTACCATCTTTTTTTGACTATGAAAGTCATTACATCTCCTTCATATTAAAGGATAATTTTGCTATGCCTGAATTTCGAGGTTGCTAAGTTTCTCCTTTCAGCACGTTGGACACCTCCTCCATTCTCTTTCTGCATCCTTGGTTTCTGATGAGATCCCACTGCGATTGTTATCCTGTCTCTATCAGGCATTTTTTGCCTCTGACGTCTTTCCACATTTTGTCTCTGCCTTTGCTTTATTGCAGTTTGAATTACAATGTGACTCATTGCATGCTTTCGGGCATTTATCCTGCTTGGTGTTCTCTGAGCTTCCTGGATTGCTCCTACCATAAACGTGCAGGAACGTTTAAATGGCTTTTCATTAATTTGGGAAAATTCATAATCACTATTACTTCAAATACTTCTGATAAATTCTGTTTTTGTTCTCCTTCTGTAATGCCAATTACACACATATGCTATACTTTTTGACATTGTCTTACCATTCTTGCATCTTCTGGCTTTTGTTTTTGTTTTTGTTTTTGCAGATCACTTAGGGGAGCCTGTGTTGACGCGTATTCAAGTTCACTGCCTCTTTCCTTGGCTGTGTCCAGTCTACTGATGCGTCTGTCAAATTCAGTGTTCACTAACGTCACAGTATTTTTGATGTACAGCATTGCTTTTTTAAAATTTTTTTATTTGACAGATAGAGTTAGACAGTGAGAGAGAGACAGAGAGAAGGGTCTTCCTTCTGTTGATTCACCCCCAAATGGCCGCTAAGGCCGGAGCTACGCTGATCTGAAGCCTGGAGCCAGGTGCTTCCTCCTGGTCTCCCTTGCGGGTGCAGGCGCCCAAGCACCTGGGCCATCCTCCACTGCCTTCCTAGGCCACAGCAGAGAGCTGGACTGGAAGAGGAGCAACCGGGACTAGAACCCGGTGCCCATATGGGATGCAGGCGCCACAGGCGGAGGATTAACCAAGTGAGCCATAGCACCGGCCCCGATGTACAGCATTTCTTTTTTATTGGGTCCTAGAATTTTCTTCTCTCTCCTTGTATTGTTCATCTGCATTTGTACATTTCCTACTTTTTCCATTACAGCCCTTAACATATTAATCATAATTATTTAAAATTATTGTATAATTTCAAAAATTTGCATCATATCCACGTCTAGTTCTAATGCTTTCTTTATCCCATCAGAATAGATTTTTCTCTTGCCCTTTAGCATACCTTGGAATAATGTCTTGTTGAAATCCAGGATGAGGTATTGGGTAATTGGAACTGAAATACATAAGCATTTAGTGTGTGGTTTTATATTAATCTGGCTAGAAGTTGGGCCATGTTTCATGTTTGCTGTGGGTGGTGGTTCTAATGGCTTCCAATTCCTTTAGTGTCCTTGTTTGGTCTCCAGTGCTGCTTAGGGCTTCCCTAAGAACACTTCCTCTACTAGAGTCTGTGCCTTGTAGCACCGTCAGCTGTGCCTGAGTGTTATTGTACTAGAGCTGAGTTTGGTATGGTCCTAAGGAGCGGGAGGGGAAGTGTTTTGTAATCTTAGGATTAAATTTTAGTCTTAATGGACCTATGTCCCTGAGCTATGACCTTCACAAATGTTTGTCAGTTTTTATTTATTACTTCATTAGGTGAGACAAGAAAACTAGATGGGGTGAGGGTAGGAGAAATGCCCTTTCTCAAAGTCAGATAAGGTTCGGTTAGTCTTCTCCCTGGAAAGTAACTATTCAATTATGGAGAACGGCCCCAGCATATTTCATAATGATTCCCCTTCCCGTCTCTGCCAGAGCCACGAGGGCATCTTCCTTTGCTTTTTGTTGTGAAAACCTGGTGGATTTCCTGGTAGCGAAAGCCAGGGAAGATAAAAGCTTCAAATGCTGTGAGGTGATCCCTGGCCAGGCTTGGTCCAGTTTCTTGTCTCCATGTGAGAAGGAATTCAAGCAAGAGATACAGGCAAAGGTGGGCAGAAAAGCAAGATTTCTTTAAGTGCAAAACAAAAGTACACACTCACGAGGAAGAGTGGGCCAGCTCAGGAGAGAGAGCTGCAATCAACAAAGTTTGGGCTATCCTTTTATCAGATCTGGAAGCACAGGGGGTGGTGTGTGCGGTGGGGCTCAGTTGCCTATTCAGAGGGCAGTTTCATTCCTGTGCCTATTTTTGGAATTTTGGGAGAATCATGGCATCAAGTGTCGGCCATGGTAATTCTAGCATGAGGACATTACATTGACTTAAAAGTTATCACAGGGATGCAGCCCGCAGCCATGTTGAACATTTCTAGCTGGCACTGGTTTGAAGTTGCTAAGTCACAGAACTAGGTTTCCACAAGACAAAAGCAGGGGAGGGGCACTTTCCGGTGCATGCCAAGCGGACTTGGGTGGTGCGCGAGGGAGATGGGGGTTTGGGTGGCACAGGACAGGGAGTGTAGATTAAGTAGGGGCCTCATTGCCATTCCATAGCAGGCCAGGCGGGGCAGCTTCTCCTTGCTAATGTCACCTCCCAGCCTACACCTCTAGGAGTTTCCCACCCTCTGGAGAGTCCATACTCAGCTCCTGATAGTTTCTCAAAACAGTCACTTAAATTTTCCCAGCAGTTGATGGTTCTCCTTGCTTCTGCTCCCAGTAAGCAGATCTTGGCTGTGGTTCTTTGAATTTGCCCATCTCCCCAGATTTAAATGTGGCAGTTTCTCCTCCAACCCCTGTTCTCGAAAGGGCTCGAAGGAAAGTTCTCGATTTTCAGTTTGTTCAATGTTTTCTTTGTGTAGGAATGGGAATGACAACTTCTGAACTCTTGGCATGTCAGAGCTGAAGCTAGAGATCCCTCTCTGGGTTGCTTTGATTTAGTGTCTTGGCTGAGTTTGCAGGGGTGGGAAGTGTTACCCGTCACAGAAGGGAGGGTGGTTGCAGGAGCGAGTTCGTGGGTTCTTTTCCTCAGCTTAATTTAGAAATAAAAAGCCAGAAAACAATTTGCAAAGAGGCAGAATCTTTTATTAGACAGAAAAGAAACTCTTATTTGACTGGCAAGCAACAGAAGAAGCGTCTGGTGCAAGAGGAGACCAGGTGGAGTGCCCGAGTGGGACACTGGCTTTGAGGAAGCATCCCTGGTTTTTAAGGCATTGCGGTCTGTTCATTGGGTTATCATATTGGGGGTGCCCATTGGACAGGGGGTTTCACATACTGTATGTCCACTGGCTTGGGGCTCATGGAGATAGCGGGGGTCTCCTTAGGGGCTCAGCCCCTCTCCTTGCTCCGAGTGAAAGATTCAGCTACCCAGAGGTGTGATTTAAAGCCGCAAGGTCACATGGGCAGCGCAAGAAGCTGTTAGTGGGGGAGATGCCAGTTGGCCTGGAGACAGGCTTTCCAGCCACAGCTAGCAGGCTGCTTGTGAAGGACGTTCTGCCTGCTTCTGGGGGGTCCACAGGACCCCCACCCCCAGCCCCACTGGACAGCCTCAGGAACGTGTGTGTGGTTTCACACACTTTTACTTGGCATTCTCCACCAGGATAGCGCATACCCTTTAGAGGTCAAGAATTTAACGGGTGGGGGCTGGCGCTGTGGCACAGAGGGTAAAACCACTGTCTGAAGTGCCGGCATCCCATATGGGTGCTGGTTTGAGTCCCGGTTGCTCCTCTTCCAATCCAGCTGTCTGCTATGCAAGCAGTAGAAGATGGCCCAAGTCCTTGGGCCCCTGCGTCAGTGTGGGAGACCTAGAAGAAGCTCCTGGCCCCTGGCTTCAGATCAGCTCAGCTCTGGCTGTTGCAATCATTTGGGGAGTGAACCAGCGGGTGGCAGACTTCTCTCTCTGGCTCTCCCTCTCTCTGTAACTCTGTCTTCCAAATAAATAAAATCTTTTAAAAAAAGAACGTAACATGGAAAAAAGAAAAAGAAAGAAATTTCTGTATCAGTATTGCAGCAAATATAGCTTTGTAAAACTTTGTTTTATATGTTTGCCAACCCAATGGTTAAAAATGTTATACCACTATAGTTTTAATGATCTGTGATTACTTTAAAATTTACTTTTTATGGAATAAAAACAAAATCCAAAAAAATTATATAGATATTTACTAAGAATATCTATTCTACCTTTTTTTTAAAGATTCATTTATTGTATTTGAAAGTCAGAGTTACACAGAGAGAGGAGAGGCAGAGAAAGAGAGAGCGGTCCTCCATCTGCTGGTTCACTCCCCAGATGGCCTCAAAGGCCGGAGCTGGGCTGTTCCGAAGCCAGGAGCCAGGAGCATGTGCAGGGGCCCAAGGACTTGGGCCATCTTCTACTGCTCTCCCAGGCCCCAGCAGAGAGCTGGAATGGAAGTGGAGCAGCTGAGACTTGAACTGGCGTCCATATGGGATGCCGGCACTGTAGGCGGCAGCTTTACCCGCTACACCACAGCGCTGGCCCTGTATGCATGCTGATGACATGGCAAGTGAGTAGAACTCCATCCTAGGATCCTATAAGCCCTCATTTTCAGAGAGAAGCCATAATGACCCTTCAAGTCTATTGATATCGATGTCAGGCCACACTCCACTCAATCATCCTTGAACTATTTAGATGTTCCCTTTTCCTCAGTATACGGCTGCCTAAGTGAATGGCGACAGAGCACCAGTGTAATTTATTACTGTGAACATGTTTCAGAGTCCTTTCTCCTAAGGATTTTTGTCCCTCCCTTTGTCAAGGTAGTCCAGGTCCAAAAACTAGTTCAAGTCTACAACGTAGGCAAGTGATTGTGGCTTTTTTTTTTTTTAATTTATTTATTTTTTTGACAGGCAGAGTGGACAGTGAGAGAGAGAGACAGAGAGAAAGGTCTTCCTTTGCCGTTGGTTCACCCTCCAATGGCCGCTGTGGCCAGCACGCTGCGGCCGGCGCACCGCGCTGATCCGATGGCAGGAGCCAGGCACTTATCCTGGTCTCCCATGGGGTGCAGGGCCCAAGTACTTGGGCCATCCTCCACTGCACTCCCGGGCCACAGCAGAGGGCTGGCCTGGAAGAGGGGCAACCGGGACAGAATCCAGCGCCCCCACCGGGACTAGAACCCGGTGTGCCGGCGCTGCAATGCGGAGGATTAGCCTAGTGAGCCGCAGCGCGTGATTGTGGCTTTTTATCAGGGAAACTGCCTCAGTGTCCTGATCATTTTGGTTGTTCGGATTGAAGTCTGCTCATCTATTTTCTCTAGATGCCTCATTCTACTTCCCATCTCCATGACTTCTATGACTGCCACTCTTACGTCATAGTAGTCGCTTGACTTTCATTGTTTGAATGCCACCATGTGACTTCCATGGGACAAGGTACTCTCATCCCTGCTGCTCCCAGTGAGCCCAGTTCTGCACTGGCATCTTCTACCTTCACACCTGGATTGCGGGGAGAGCCACCCCTAGAATTCCAAGTCATGTCAGCGCCTCTCTCGCCAGATAATTCCTCTAATGAGTGATCGATCATTAGTGTATCCTCTGAATTTATATGGGAAATACATCCATCTTTTGGTCTTTTCAGTTTTCTGTAAGTACTTTCAATTCAGTATAGTTACTTCTTCATGTGGCAAAGTCTTTTTTCACACTGTCACCCATAGCCATTCTTGCATTTCTATTTAACTTCATGTATGGTAGGCTGTTGATTTATCCTTGCTTCCAGATAACAATTTAAGTGTGCTCACACCATCATCTGGGGCCCTTGCATAAATGTCAAATGCTGTATCCTGGAGGAGTTTTCCCAAATGGATATTCTCCCTTGTGTAGTTTTACATTCCACTGGAGAACACTTTCTTCCTCCCTAGTCCACAGATTGGGGAAGATTCAGTCCCATGCATACTCTCTGGCTGGTGCTGGCACCTATTGGCTGGGTCCTATAGCTTTTTTGGGATAGGGTTGTAGTCCTATGATGTCCTCTGAATATCATCTGTTGTGAATTGATCCTAATTATTGCCCAGAAGCCATCAGGGGAGAGATGAATATTATTCTATAGACAGGAGACCTCTGCATGATCTCACAGGGAGGAGCACTAGCTCAATATCAGGAGGAGTGGGACATTTGCAGGCCTAGCAGGTGAGGAAGACCGAGATTCCAGAATTTTCAGGTACATCAATCAAACAACCCCATCTCACATGCCAGGGTCCCCCTCTTTTCCAACCAGGGTGCCAACTTTGACATATCACACCTGCCCAAGTGGAGAGTTTAGTCCTTGGAAGTTTCCATTCGGTGTTCTGCCACTTTTATGTTAAGTCCTGGGATGGGCCCTCAGCTTTCTCTGTCTTTCCACTGCAGGGGGTGAGAACTGTTTTATATGCTCTCTTGAAGGACCTCTGGTTCTCACCTTTAACTTTGTGTCACAGATTAATCACTCTTCAGCATTTCATTATCACTTTCCAAAGTACCACTTAGCAACAGCCATCAAATTCCACTGTGTGTGTGTGTTTATCATTTTCCCTGGCCTGAGATCAGTGCACTCTTTCACTCTGTACTGCATGTTTTTCTTCAGTACACTACGGTGAGAGTTTCAACAATTGCTCTGATTTCTACTTCCCTGAGAAGCTATGTTCTAATGTCCACACTGATTCTCTGCACCTACCAAAGGGTGGCCAGCTCCAAAATCCAGTCATGATATCTGCTTTCTTAGGTCATTCCTGGCACCAAATCCTTTAGGTCAGGTTCTATGAAAAGTAGACTTTGGGGCAAGGATTTGTATTCCGGAAGTTTAGTAGGGAGCACACTGAGGATCCACATCAGTGGAAAAGCAAGAGATGAAAATGAGATCAGGAGTGGATGAGCAAGGACATAAGCCTATGAGTGCCTTTAGCTCCTTGCTTGAAAGCAGATCCAATGACCCAAGGGGTTCCCTAGTGCCTGCATTCTTTTTTAAGATTTATTTATTTATTTACTTAAAAGGTGGAGTTACAGAGAGGGAGAGACAGAGGCAAAGAGAGAGAGAGAGAGAGAGAGAGAGAGAGAGAGAGAGAAAGAGAGTCTTCCATCTGCTGGTTCACTCCCCAAATGGCCTCAAAGGCCAGGGCTGTGCCATGCTGAAGCCAGGAGCCAGAAGCTTCCTCCAGGTTTCCCATATGGGTGTAGGGGCTACGGACTTGGGTCATTGTCTGCTGTTTTCCCAGGTGCATTAGCAGGGAACTAGTAGTTGAAGCATCCATATCCCACTTCAGAGTGCCTGCATTCAATTCCAAGATCCAGCTCCCGATCCCAGCTTCCTGCAAACGCACACCCTGGGAGGCAGTGGTTACGGCAGTGGGTTCCTGCCATCCATGTTGGTGATAGTTTCCCACCTTGATGGTGTCCTTGGCTTCTAGCTTTGGCCTTGGTCTAGCCCCAGTCTTTGCAGGCATTTGGGAGAGTGAACTAACAGATGGGAGCCCTCTCTGTCTGTCTGTCTGTCTGTCTTTTCCCCTCTCTGTTTGTCAAATAAATAAATTAAATTAAAAGGAAAAAAGAAAGTAGAATCAGACAGGGAAAACTTGACTAGTGTTATTGTGAAATAAAGAATTTGACGGGGCCAGCACTGTGGCATAGTGGGTAAAGCCGCCACCTGCAGTGCCAGCATCCCATATGGTCGCCGGTTCAAGTCCTAGTTGCTCCACTTCTGATCCAGCTCTCTGCTATGGCCTGGGAAAGCAGTAGAAGATGGCCCAAGTCCTTGGGCCCCTGCATCCACGTGGGATACCTGGAAGAAGCTCCTGGCTCCTGGCTTCGGATAGGCACAGCTCTGGCCGTTGTGGCTAGTTGGGGAGGGGAGTGAACCAGCGGATGGAAGACTCTCTCTCTCTGCCTCTCCTTCTCTCTCTCTGTAATTCTTTAATTCTTTCAAGTAAAATAAATAAATCTTTTTTTTTTAAGAATTTGACTCTTTTTATCTCTTGTTTTGGGGAGGTAACTTCTAAGTCCCTGAGATTTCCCAAGTGATAGGTGTGTCTTTTTTATTTATTTGGGGTCCTTGGACTGCATCTGACTCCATGCTAATGTGATGACTCAGGAATGGAAGGAATGGAAACTGGCCATGTCTGAAAGACCAATCAGGAGATTAAAGGATGTTGAACCACATGGTATCAGTCCAACCTCCTAACACCCCAGGAGGAGAGAGGGGTGAGAATTGAGTTCAGTCATGGAGCCAATTCAGCCAAATGTGACTGTTTAATGAAACCCCAGTAAAAACTCCAGACTGAAGATCAGCTTAGTTTCCTTGTTGGAGAGGATGCTGGATTTGCGGGAGGGCCATTGTTCTAATTCAAAGAAGCAAGGGCACAGACACTCTGATTTGTAGCCTTTATAAAGTAACTCTTGAAGCCGGTGCTGTGGCATAGTGGGTTAAGCCACTGACGGCAGTGCTGGCTCCACACATGAGCACTGGTTTGAGTCCCAGCTGCTCTACTTCCGATCCAACTCCCTGCCAGTGCACCTGGGGAATTAAATAAATCTTAAAAAAGAATATTGTCACCATAAGTATAATGCTTTCTTGAGTTCTGTAAGTCATTCAAGCAAATTATCAAATAAGATGGGATTGTGTGAAACCCTGAATTTGCAGCCAGTTGGGCAGAAGTGCAGGTGGCCTGTAGACCCCTGAGCTTGTGAATGGTGTCTGGAGTGAAGACATCTTCAGTTATGTTTGGGACTGTCTCCTTAACTTGTGGATTGTTCGAAGCATTGCAATATAGCAAATGACTTCCTAACAAAAGAAAGCATCAGTCAGTCCTGTAGGGAGTTTGTTCAGATGCTATGAGGGGAGAGGGGCCAGGGCTCTCCATCCCTACCTTGCATTTAGCTTGCCAGGCAGCTCTCCTTCTCGATGCTTCCAGATGGTTGTTCTAGGGTTGTCTCTAGGTACATTCCCAGCGGCTGAGGGTGTCTCAATCTGGAGGTGAGGCCCCGATGGCAAGTCAGAGACTTTAGCCACTGCTCCTTGTAACTATTCTGTCTCTTAAACGAAGCAGAGAGAGGGGATAAAGCTGTGAAAAGTAGCGACAAAACTTCTTTCCATTGTGTAAGGATTTGGTAGCTAACGAGAATTCAAAGAGGGAGATTGCTGGATTGGTCGTGGCAAAATCCTCATCAGTGATTACATTGTTTTCCCTTCTTTTTTTTTTTTTAAGATTTATTTATTTATTTGAAAGACAGAGTTACAGAGAGAGATACAGAGAGAGAGAGAGAGAGAGAGAGAGAGAGAACATTCCATCTACTGGTTCACTCCTCAAATGGCTGCAACAGCCAGGGCTGGGCCAGTGTGCAGCCAGGAGTCAGGAGCTTCATCCGGGTCTCCCACATGGGTGCAGGGCCCCAGACACTTGGGCCATCTTCCATTACTTTCCTTTTTTTTTTTTTAAGATTTATTTTATTTATTTGAAAGGAAGAGTTCCTGAGAGACAGAGGCAGAGAGAAAGAGGCCTTCCATTCACTGGTTCACTCCCCAGATAGCCGCAACAGCTCGAGGTGAGCCAATCTGAAGCCAGGAGGCCAGGAGCCAGGATCTTCCTCTGGGTCCCCCACACGGGTTCAGGGGCCCAAGGACTTGAGCCATTTTCACTGCTTTCCCAGGCCATAGCAGAAAGCTGGATCCAAAGTGGAGCAGCTGGGACCTGAACCGGTGCCCATAAGGGATGCCGGCACTGCAGGTGGTGGCCTTAGCTGCTACGCCACAGCGCCAGCCTCTCCATTACTTTCCCAGGCACATTAGCAGGGATCTGGAACAGAAGTAGAGGGGTTTGGACATGAACCATTGCTCACATGGGATGGTGGCATTGCAGGCATCAGCTTTATCTGCTACACCACAAGGTCGGTCTCTGTTTTCTCTCTCTTTGTCTTTTTAAGATTTATTTTATTTTATTTGTAAGGCAAAGTTACAGGGAAAGTGTGTGTGTGTGTGTGTGTGTGTGTATGTGTGTGTGTGTGAGAGAGAGAGAGAGAGAGAGAGAGACAGAGAGAGAGAGAGGGAGAGAGAGAGAATTTTCCACCTGCTGGTTCACTCCCCAAATGGCCGCGATGGTCAGGGCTTGGCCAGACTGAAGCCAGGAACCATTAGCTTCATCCGGGTCTCCCACGTGGGTGCAGGGGCTTCTCTGCCTTTCCCAGCCATCAGCAGGGAGCTGGATTGGAAGTGGAGAAGCCGGGACTCGAACCATGTGGGATGCCAGCGTTGAAGGCAGTGGCTTTACCTGCTACTCCACAGTACCAGCCTCCTCTTTTTCCCTCTTAATAAAATCTATTTGCCCTCTTCCTATTGCTTTAAGAAGGATAAAATCTCTGATCCTCTGGAAGGTGTTATGGCCCCTTCTGGCGAGCGAGTACTGCAAGAACAGAATTGAAAGAGAAGTTTGTGCCGGTGGATTTCCATGAACTCCCCGTGGACCCCGTGGGGCAGCAGGACCTCATCTTTCCCATCTCATTGCACCCATGCTGTTCTATGAGTCGCACCTGTGTATGTTTGAGGGCCTTCAATTTTTTTTTTTTTTTTGACAGGCAGAGTGGACAGTGAGAGAGAGAGACAGAGAGAAAGGTCTTCCTTTGCCGTTGGTTCACCCTCCAATGGCCGCCGCGGCCGGCACGCTGCGGCCGGCACACCGCGCTGATCCTAAGGCAGGAGCCAGGTGCTTTTCCTGGTCTCCCATGGGGTGCAGGGCCCAAGCACCTGGGCCATCCTCCACTGCACTCCCTGGCCACAGCAGAGGGCTGGCCTGGAAGAGGGGCAACCGGGACAGAATCCTGTGCCCCGACCGGGACTAGAACCCCGTGTGCCGGCGCCGCTAGGTGGAGGATTAGCCTAGTGAGCCGCGGCGCCGGCCAATTTTTTTAGGTCTTTTTCTAGATGTCTCCTCTCGGAGAGGCTTTTCCTACCACTCAGTCTAGGTCAAGGCCACCTGCTAGATGCTCTCTGATAGCCCCGCCCCTGCCCTCTGTAGATGGTGTGGGTTTTGTTGTTGTTGTTGTTTTGCACTAATTACAGCTGGAACAACATAGTTATTTATGAGTTCAGCTTTTTAAATTTGTTTTATTTATTTTTATTTTTTAATTTTTTTGTATGAGAAAAAAACTTTAATTTAAAAACAGTTGACACAAATGTGTGGTCTATTTGCAAAGTACAAAAGAATCCCTCTTCTCGTCCCTACTTCCCCTCTGAGGGTTTGAACTCTCCAGCTTCGGCAGGCATCCCAGGCCTTGCAGGGAAGGCACAAGGCCCCAACCTGTTAGGCAACAGTGTGAGTCCACTCCCTGCAGAGCCCACCCAGCCTCAGCTTGCCCCACTCCTGGTTCCTGCACACGTGGCAGGGGCCTGCCTCCTCCCCTCCTACAAGTGAGGGTGCAAACAGGCCAGGAAAGGAGGCTAGCGCTGGGTGAAGGGGGCAAGGTTGGAGGACGAAGGCATCTGGGGTGGGAAGTGGGCAACAGCATCACAGATTCAAAGCCCACAAGCTCCAGCTCAAGGACGAGGCCATGACACTGGACCAGAGCAGCCCTGACCAGCTTTTTTTTTTTTTTTTTAAAGATTTATTTATTTTATTTGAAAGGCACAGTTACAGAGAGGGAGAGGGAGAAGGAGAGGGAGAGAGAGAGAGAGAGAGGATAGAGAGAGATTGTCCATCTGCTGGTTCATTCCCCAAATGGCTTCAATGGCAGGAGCTGGGCCAATCCAAAGCCAGGAGTCAGGAGCTTCTTCCAGGTCTCCCACGAATGTACAGGGACCCAAACACTTGGGGCATCTTGCGCTGCTTTCCCAGGCACATTAGCCAGGAGCTAGATAGGAAGTAGAGCAGCCAGGTCTCAAACTGGCACTCACATGGGATGCTGACACTGCAGGCAGCTGCTTTATCCACTACACCACAGCGGCGGCCCTGAGGTTAGTTATTTAATTCCTGTCTCTCTTCCTTTGGCGAGTTTCATAAAGGCAAAAACTGTGGCTCTTTTTTTTCTTCCCTCTTTCCCCAGCTCTTGCACCAATGGCGGACACGGTGACTTAATAGATATTTGTTGAGTAAATACAGAAATGGAGTAATTAAGGGATGGGTAACCGATACAGTGCAGGGGTGAGTAGTGTGGCTCTGGGTTCAAATCGTCAACATTCTGACTAGTCCACTGAGAGGGGTGTGCATTTGTGCTGTAGTGAACAATGTACAGCACTGAGTGTGTCGGGCGAGGAGTCCTTATCTCCATCATGCACGCTAGGAGAACCACGGGCAGTGAGAACACCTGCTTATCAGTAGCAGCAACACAGCAGAGCAGCTGAGCACACACGCCGCATGGGCTGAACTCCAGGACTGCACCCTAGCCACAACACTTATCCTCTGTGCACGCCAGTGTCCTCCCCTGTGAGTGAGCGTAACACACAGCACCCAACTCACAACAGGCCAAAATATGCAGGTGACAGTGTCTGGTTCATAGTGAGTGCTTTATATGCATTGGCTGTTATCATCACTTATGAATTTTGGTTGGGCCACCCTCTGGCTTGAGACCTGGAGCTGGTTAGCTGCACTGGACATTTCCTGCCACACACTGATAGTCGACCAGAGAGTTGTGTAATAGACAACGAGTTAAGAGCAGGGGCCAGTGCTGTGGCGTACAGTGCTGGCATCCCGCTGGCTCCAGTCCCAGCTGCTCCACTTCCAATCTAGCTCCCTGCTAATGCGCCTGGGAAGGCAGCGGAGGATGGCCCAAGTCCTTGTCCACCTGCACCCACATGAGAGCCCAGGATGAAGCTCCTGGCTCCTCACTTCCGCCTGGCTCAGCTCCAACTGTTGTGGTCATTTGGGAAGTAAACCAGCAGAAGATCGCTCTCTCTCCTTCCCTTTCTCTCTCTGTAACTCTGACTTTCAAACAAATAAATCTTAAACATTTTTTTAAAGTAAGAGTAAAGAAGACAGGATATTCTCTGGAAACATTTCCAGGAAGGTGAGGGGGACCTGGCTGGTATCTCTTCCCTGGGGGTGGTCACCAACATCCACCACAGCCACAGTTTCACTTTCCTTGGTTTTGGTTACCTGCCGCCGACAGTGTCACGACTGGATGACCGTGTGTGACGTAGTATCAGAGGGCCCATAGGAGCCTGACGCTACCTTACAATGTCCACATCACCCCTCACTTCAGCTCACACCATCACTGTGAGAAGGGTGACTGCAGTACACTAAGATATTTTGAGAGATAAACCACGTTCCTAGAATTTTTTCATAGTATATTGTTACACCTGCTCTCCTTAATCGTTGGTAATTGTTCAGCTCTTACAGTGCCTGCTCTATAAATTAAACTTTACCATAGATATGCATGCATAGGAAAAAAAAAAAAAAACACAACCTAGTACATGGAAGGTTCCGCACTCTGCAGCTTCAGCTAGTTGGACATCTTGGAACTTTTGCCCCAAGGAGAAGGGAGGATTCCTGCAAGTCTGAAAACCTAGGGTGGGTCATTTAGACCTGGGAATCGGCCCCTCCCCCCAAGGAGTCTGAGCTCTTTGCTCCACTCACTGTAGATTCCAGAAAGGCCACCGCCCTTTGATAAACGTGGCCTTTTTTCAGGTTACAACACAAATGATTAAGTTGCAGTTTTTGTCAGATATACCCTAGGCTCCAGGAAGAAGTCTCATCCGCCAAGTTTTATAACCAAGAGTGGACGATTGGGGCCGGCGCCGTGGCTCGCTTGGTTAATCCTCCGCCTGGGGCGCCGGCATCCCACATGGGCGCCGGTTCTAGTCCCAGCTGCTCTTCTTCCAATCCAGCTTTCTGCTGTGGAATGGGAAAGCAGAAGATGGCCCAAGTCCTTGGGCCCCTGCACCCGCATGGGAGACCCGAAAGAAGCTCCTGGCTCCTGACTTTGAATCAGCGTGGCTCCGGCCATTGCGGCCATCTGGGGAGTGAACCAATGGGAGGAAGACCTTTCTCTCTGTCCCTCCATCTGTAACTCTACCTCTCAAATAAATAAATAAAAATTTTAAAAAGATAGTATGATTTAGGCAAAAATGGAAGGTGGGGGGCACGGGACTGTGGGTGGGGAATCTGAACTCTCTTGAGCTTGGTTTTCAGGATTTTTCACAAGAGCTATCTTGGACATCACACTCAGACTGGGACTAGACCACCTCGTATAAGGAGTAGCTCAAGCAGCAAAAGGGGCTGGCTCTGTGGCTTAGTAGGCTAAGCCTCTGCCTCTGGTGCCCGCATCCCATATGGGTGCCAGTTCGAGCTGTGGATTGGCCCAGCTCTGGCTGTTATGGCCATTTGGGGAGTGAACTAGCAGGTGGGATGTTATATATTTCTGTTAGGCTGTCACAGGCACACTGAACACTGGAGGGTTTATTGGGGAAAACCCAGCAGACAGGAGGCAAGGGGCGAAGAGGGAAAAGGAGAGTAAGAGAGAAAGAGGAGAGAGGGGAGTGAGAGAGAAGAGGCTAGAGAGAGTGGGCAAGAAAGAGCGAGGAGAGAAGAGAGAGCAGAGAGAAGAGAGGAGGAGAGGAGGGCAGATGAGAGGAGCCAAGAAAGCGCAGGAGAGAAGAGCCAAGAGAGCACGTGTTCAGGAACAGGCCCTTTTAAAACTTTGCCAGAGGGCGGCCAGGGAAGCAGGAGCAGCGAATCCCATTAGGGTGGGGGTGGAGCTTGACACCGGTGGTTGGGCCCTGTGGCCACCTGGCTTGAGGGGGCGGGGAGCCAGGGCATAGGATGTAAATCAGGGTGCAGATCATGCCATGGATAAAATTGTGCCAGTTTCCTAACATGGGAGACCTCTCTCTGTCTATAAATAACTCTGCCTCTCAAATAAATAAATCTTAGGGGAAAAAAAAAAACAGCAAGAAACCAGTTTAAGTCAGACCTTCCTAATCTAAGCTGGATTTTCCTTGGTATAACACTAAATTCTTTGGCTACAGGAGGAATTTGCCACTAATTTCTCTCTCTCTCCTTATTTCTTTTTTTTTTTGTCTTTTATTTAATGAATATAAATTTCCAAAGTACGACTCATGGATTACAATGGCTTCCCCCCCATACCATCCCTCCCACCCACAACCCTCCCCTTTCCCACTCCCTCTCCCCTTCCATTCACATCAAGATTCATTTTCGATTATCTTAATATACAGAAGATCAGCTTAGTATACCTTAAGTAAGGATTTCAACAGTTTGCTCCCACACAGAGACATAAAGTGAAAAATAATAGATGATTTTTTTTTAAATGATGATGAATCAGATCAGACCTATTGTCATGTTTAATCCCAGTGAGAGTCAAGTTGGGAATTGATAATTTCTTTTTTTTTTTTTTTTAACAGAAGATCAGTTTAGTGTACATTAAGTAAAGATTTCAACCTTTTGCACCCCCATAGAAACACAAAGTGAAATATACTGTTTGAGTACTCGTTATAGCATTAAGCCTCAATGTACAGCACATTAAGGACAGAGATCCTACATGAGGAGTAAGTGCACAGTGACTCCTGTTGTTGACTTTACAAATTGACACTCCTGTTTATGGCATCAGTAATCTCCCTATGCACCAATCATGAGTTTCCAAGGCTATGGAAGCCCCTTGAGTTCTCCGACTCTTATCTTGTTTAGACAAGGTCATAGTCAAAGTGGAGGTTCTCTCCTCCCTTCAGAGAAAGGCACCTCCCTCTTTGAAGACCTGTTCTTTCCACTGGGATCTCACTCACAGAGATCTTTTTGCCAGAGTGTCTTGGCTTTCCATGCCTGAAATACTCTCATGGGCTTTTCAGCCAGATCCGAGTGCCTTTAGGGCTGATTCTGAGGCCAGAGTGCTATTTAGGACATCCGCCATTCTATGAGTCTGCTGAGTATCTCACTTCCCATGTTGGATCACTCTCCCCTTTATTTATTCTATCGGTTAGTGTTAGCAGGTACTAGACTTGTTTATGTGCTCCCTTTGACTCTTAGTCCTTTCATTATGATCAATTGTGAACTTAAATTGATCACTTGGAATAGTGAGATGGCATTGGCACATGCCACCTTGATGGGATTGAACTGGAATCCCCTGGTATGTTTCTAACTCTACCATTTGGGGCAAGTCAGCCCGAGGATGCCCCAAGTTATACATCTCTTCCCTCTCTTATTCCCACTCTTATGTTTAACAGGGATCACATTTCAGTTAATTTTCAACACTTAAGAATAACTGTGTGATAATTGCTCTCTCTCCTTATTTCTTTGTTTCTTTCTCTTTCTTTGCTTCAAAGTTTTATTTGAAAGGGGGAGTTACAGAGAGGCAGAGGCAAAGAGGTCTTCCATATGCTGGTTAACTCCCCAAGTGGCCACAACAACCGGAGCTGAGCCGATTGGAAGCCAGGAGCTTCTTCCAGGTCTCCCACGTGGGTGCAGGGGCCCAAGCACTTGGGCCATCTTCTACTGCTTTCCCAGGCCATAACAGAGAGCTGGATCGGAAGTGGAGCAGCTGGGACTTGAACCGGCGCCCATATGAGATGCTGGCACTGCAGGCGGCAGCTTTACCCGCTATGCCACAGCACTGGCCCTGCCACTATTTTCTGAACCCGCCATGTATGAAGATATATGTTTGCTTCCTCCCTCATTTTGTGCTACATCTTGGACACTTCCCTAACTCTTGCTACAAAAGCCCCAGCAAGCTGCTTGTCACTGAGGCAGCTTCCTGTGCAGCTCTGCCTTCTCCCTGTCTTCTTTCCTCTGAGCACCTCCCGCTTGAGGCCGGCTATTTGGTGATCCTTCAAGCAGACGGACCCTTTAGTCCCTAAATAATTCGTTTCTCCTTTCTCCAGCCTCCTTGTTCAATCACGAGAGGCTGACATCTCTTTGAGAGTTAAGCAGTGCTGCTTTTTTCCCTGATAATTTTTAGGTATTTTTAAAATGTTAAGGTATTTTTACACCAGGTCTCAAGATGAGAATCCAAGACTGGCACCGAACAGTTGGAGTGAAAGTTGGATTTTTGACCGGCACCGTGGCTCACTAGGCTAATTCTCCGCCTGCGGCACCGGCACACTGGGTTGTAGTCCCGGTCGGGCGCCAGATTCTGTCCCGGTTGCAGTCCAGCTCTCTGCTGTGGCCCGGGAAGGCAGTGGAGGATGGCCCAAGTGCTTGGGTCCTGCACCCCATGGGAGACCAGGAGAAGCACCTGGCTCCTGGCTTCGGATCAGTGCGGTGCGCCGGCCGCTGCAGCGGCCATTGTGGGGTGAACCAACGGAAAAGGAAGACCTTTCTCTTTGTCTCTCTCTCACTGTTCACTCTGCCTGTCAAAAAAACAAAAACAAAACAAAAGTTGGATTTTTTTTTCTGGCTTTGACACTAGTTTGCTGTGTGAACGAGGGCATGGCATGGGGGTTCAGGCTCCCTCATTTTCAGATAAGCAGAAAATCAGCTGGAACTCTTTTCCAGGTTTGCAGTTCAGTGATTCTGCATTATGAACTCTGACAAGTGTCAGCATACAGGAATGGTCTACATTTAAGGTAGAAATGTGCGCTATCTTATACACAAATACACCTTACTTTGTGTTAACTTTATTTTAAAAGATTTATTTATTTATTTGAAAGGCAGAGTTACAGAAAGGCAGAGAGAGTGAAAGCGCACGCGCGTGCGAGAGAGAGCGCGAGAGAGAGAAAGAGAGACAGAGGTCCTCCATCCACTGGTTCACTCCCCAATTGGCCACAACGGCTGGAGTTGCACTGATCCGAAGCCAGGAGCCAGGATCCTCTTCCGGGTCTCCCACGCTGGTGCAGGGCCCCAAGGACTTGGGTCATCTTCTACTGCTTTCCCAGGCCATAGAGAGGGCTGGATCGGAAGTGGAGCAGCCGGGACTGGAACCAGTGCCCATATGGGATGCCGACACTGCAGGTGGAGGCCTTACCTACTACGCCACAGCGCCGGCCCCTTGTGTTAACTTTAAAATGAGGATCTAGTACAAAAATAAAACCCACCTTCATTATTTGCAATATTTAAGTAGTATTTAATTTTAGCTATCGCAGTTCTGGTTATGTATGACTGAGAACCGTGGTATGGGGACTGAGTTGTGGCGTAGCAGATTAAGCCACTGCCAGCAGTGCCGGCATCCCATATGGGTGCCGGTTTGAGTCCTGGCTGCTCTGCTTCTGATCCAGCTCCCTGCTAATATGTCTGGGAAAACAGCAGCAGATGGCCCAAGTCTCTGGGCCCCTGCACACACGTGGGAGACCCAGACAAAGCTCCTGGCTTTGCCTTGATGCAGCTTTGGCCAATGTGCCATTTGTTGAGTGAACCAGTGGGTGGAAGACCTCTCCCTGTAACTCTGCCTTTCAATACATAAAGTGAATCTTTTTTGTTAAGATTTTTATTTATTTGAAAGAGAAATTTACAGAGAGGGGTAGAGCCAGAGAGAGAGAGAGAGAGAGAGAGAGAGTAAGAGAGGTCTTCCATCCGCTGGTTCACTCACCAAATGGCCGCAACGGCCAGAGCTGAGCTGATCCAAAGCCAGGAGCCAGGAACCTCTTCTGGGTCTCCCACGCGGGTGCAGGGCCCCAAGGACTTGGGCCATCTTCCGCTGCTTTCCAGGCCATAGCAGAGAGCTGGATCAGGAGTAGAGCAGCTGGGACTTGAACCAGCGCCCATTATGGGATGCTGGTGCTGCAGGCCGGGGCTTTAACCCACTGCCCACAGCGCCAGCTCCAATAAAATGAATCTTAAAAAATAAAGAAATAAAAACAGAGTATGGTCTACCAGAGCATCTGGATACGGCTGTGGTATGAACGATAGCGCTCACTCTGCTGGAGTTGACCCACAGAAACTTCTCTCTCGCATTTCTTGTGGGAATGGATTTAATCGAGCAAGCACGGAGGATCTGGGGGCAGAGATCCACAAAGGTCATGAGGGTCATCTTTGTCCCTTCAGTTTTCTATCACTGCAGGTACAACCCTAACAGCTTTGAAACTTCTTAGCTGCCCCAGCCACATCTATAACACCCACCGCGCAAGGTTACTTCCAAGAATGACAGTGGTGAGGTTAACATTGTGGAAACACAAAATAGGCACACTGGGGAAAAAAAAAGGGGGGGGGGATTGTGCCTTTACTGCCAATTATCTGTTCCATATTCTGGTAACATCTACAAGCTGAGTGTACATTGTCCGTGTTGGGTAAAGAGATCAAAGGGATCAGGGCAAGTCTTAACATTTTCTCCCTGCACTTGTGAGGGCGTCTGGCGTTAACGACTGCCAAGTTCTAGACCTGGAGTTATAAAATAGTTGTTCCATTTCTGGCTGTAGGATCTGCATCCATCTCTCAACCTTTCTGGTTTCCCGAAAGGAAGGATCCATACGCTCTCCTATCTGGGACTAGACCTTCTCCATTTCCTACATCAGAGGGGTAAGGCGAGACCCAAGCGGAGCGTAAGCACCATTAGACTCCTACTCCACTCCCCCCGCCCTCCCCCAGCGGCCACAGTTCGGCGGAGAGCTCCGGGAAGAGGGAGGAGGCCGCGGGACGGAGGGAGGTCTGGCCAATGAGGCGCGCGGGCGGGACTGGAGTTCCCGCCTCTGGGCTGCGCGCGCGCGCACGACGCACGCACGCACGCTGCGGAGGCGCGCGCGCAGGCCCAGCCCTCGTCGCCGCCGCCATTTTAGCTCCTGGTTCCGGCCGCACGGTGTGGGCTGTTGTAGCGGGAGGGGTAGGGGTCCTCCAGAGTTAAGTAGCTGTTCTCTACTGTGTCGAAACAGCCGCCAGCCTCTCTTCTTTCTCTTTCTTCCTAACCGCCCGGTCGAAGAGTGGGAAGATGTCCAAGCGCCACCGGTTGGACTTGGGGGAGGATTACCCCTCCGGCAAGAAGCGTGCGGGGACCGATGGGTAAGCCAGGCCCGGGGCGCGAGGCAGCGGCTCGGGCTTTGTTGGGGTCCCGGAGGGGAGCGGACCAAGGCCTGCTTGGCCGAGTGGGCCCGGGAGCCTGCGCTTTTGTCTTCCTCCGGGCTCTGCTCGCGAGCGGCGGGTCGGGGCGGAACGGCGCCGGTTCGGCCCGGCAAGGGCGCGGGGGGTGTGTGTGTGTGTGTGTGTGTGTGTGTGTGTGTGGCGGGGCCGCCTCCCGGGCCGGTCGGGAGGCTGGCGAGGCCTGTCGGGGGGCCACGAGGGCGCCGCCTCCCGCAGGCCGGCGGGAAAGCCACTTCGGAGCCGGTCGGGAGGGAGCGAGCCGCGGACCTCGTGGCCCGCGGCCCCGAGCGAGCGAGCGAGGCCTGGCGCCGAGGGAGGGGGAGGCGCGGCGCGAGTGCGCGCCGCCAAGGGCACCAGGGCGGCCGCGGGAGCGCCGGGGCGGGGGGCGTCGGGGAGCGCCGGGGCGGGGGGCGGCGAGGGAGCGAGGCGCCGGGTTCTCGTGCGGGCTGGGCTGGGCTGGGCTGGGGGCGGCGGGCGGGGCGGGCGGCGAGCCCACGAGGAGCCCTCGGAAGGGAAGGCCGAGCGAGGGCCTGCTGGGAGGAAGGCGGACGCGGAGTCGCCCCGCCCGGCCGGGCCGCCGGGGTCTTGGGGCGGCCGAGTTGTGTAGTTTGGCGCGGGGGAGCGAGCCCGGTCCATTCAAACACTTGAGAGTGGATCGTAGGCAAACTTCCGCTCTCGGCCTACGCTCCCGCCATCTCCTTTATTTCCTGCTTCGCTGAGAACCGTGCGCCGCTCACTGAGCATCCTTGCGGTGGGGGGGGGGGGGTCGGAAGGCATTCATTCATTCATTTAAAAATTGTCTGTCTGCTCCCCGCTTTCCCTTGTGAGCCCTTTTCAAAACACATTTTTAGTTTTCTATGGCAAAATGATGTCCTTGGGCAGCTTGGAAGTTGAAATACTTAAAACAGACTGTTGGTGTTCCGAATTTTCTTTCCATTCTCTTAGCCTTTCCTTAAAGGTACAGAGGAATTCAGCAGTTAAGTAGTTGGATAAAAATTATTTCTAGTGCAGGTTGTGTTTTCATTTCTAAAGTACAGAAAAAAAAAGGAGAGGCAAATCACAGAAATCCCAATATCCAAATATGTTGCTTAATTTTTTTACTGTGTGTGACACAGAATCACTGATAGAAACTTTCTTGAATTTTTGTTCTTCTAAACTTTATTTGAATTGATTTCCAGCCATCTGGTTAGTGTAGAGTGCAGTCAGGATCGGTTATATTTGTTGGTGCTTTCCCATGTATTATTAAATATGGGAAATAGAAGTCTGTCTCACTTTAACTTTGGAAAGTTTTAGTTTGATGCTCTACATTGTAATACATAGTGATTACTTCATAAGACAGCTGAATGTGACCCCATTCTGCCCCCCGCCCCCCCAAAAAAAAAACCAGCAAAACGCAGTGAGTCTGAGCTGTAAGAGCTGGAAGTAACTTAGAGTGTAGTGAGCTCTACTCAGTGGATAAAAAAAGATGACAGTTACGGTGGCTGGTGCAGGTTTATGCTTTACAGCAGCATCTGGAACACTGCTCTTCATTGTCACTCTCAGTTCACAGCCTGATACTAGAGTTAAGAGTCATTATGGCCTGTTTTAATGAATTCTTTTTTTTTTAATGCATCAGTAAAGTAGGGAACACTTGGTTCTTGATTCCTGTGAAGCAAAAATAAATTATCTGGCTAAGATGCAATTGATGTCTCAGAGGTCAGGTTGGAACAAAGCGTTTATACTGAGGGGGATTAATTCAGTCATTCATATTTGTGCACTGTTTAAAATGAGGTCTTTGAGACTACTGGTCCCAACCTACCTGTATGTGATTTTTTTTCCTTGTTTTTGCAAAACAGATCTTTTATTAAAAATGTTAACTTTTGGGGTCTATGCTGGTAATCTTAGGATTCCTTTGGATGTTATTTGAAACTATCCTGTGGGTAAAAATTCATCTTAAGTTATTAAGACATTCTGGAGAGAAGTTTTTAATCCTAATTGCTGTGTGGCTTAAGTGCCATTTTCCATGGAACTGGTATTCTTTGGCGATTTCTTACAGTGTTTACTAGCGCTTAGGATTTTTTTTTTCTCATGCCTGATAATTTTGTAATTCTGTAGGATGTTTTTGTTTTAGCTCTGGTGTTAGGTGGTTTTTATCTTAGAGCATGGGTTTGTTGATCTTGTGAACTAAACCTGCTACCCAGTACTGTCCCATTTCTTCAGGAGAGACAAGGGAAGGTAATTCAGTGGGAAATTTCACTTAGATTCATGTTCCCAGACTATATAAGGCTTTATTTACTACTAGCATATTTTAATTTTGGAGTCAGGTGGAGAAGTTGCAGGTTTCAGTTAAATGTTCAACCTTGTTCCTTCCATCAATTCACAGAATCTTTGGTATAAAATTATTGCTAAGATGACAGTCATGTGTAGAAGTATAGAAAAATCTTTTGAAGATAGGGACATTTTTCATTTTGACGTTGGTTTGTGATACTACTTCCTGAAAAGAGCTATTTCTGTTCATTGTGGAGAGATTGAGCTAAATTGTTAATAACAACAATTTTAAGGTACAACAATTTTAAGGTACGTACTGTGCTCCTGAACTCTTCCAGATGCCTCATGCTAGGGGACATAAGATATGCAGAACATGGAATGAAAAGATAGAATACAAAGAACTTTTTTCCCTAACATATACTCCATCAAGTTTGAGACACTTTTGTAAACATATTTAGTTAATCTCTGAAAACCAGAGGTCCTGGCAATTTAAACATATCAATGCAGTGTTTTTATGTTATGAAGAAAAGTGGGTATCCATTATAATTTTTTTAAGATGAGGAAGCAAAAATAAGCCAGGACTTAATGTGAATGCTTACCAGAATCCTTTGAAACTCTTAGAAAATGGCCCATGTTTGATGAGAGGAATGAGTAGGGAACAACTCTCTGATGTTTTCCCAAATGGCTTTTCGCTAAAGCTTGGGCTTACTTTCTCAAAACTTTTAAATATGGCATAATTTTCATTGGCTGCAAAGCACTCCAGTTGAAGATGTATCATAGGGCTGGTGTTGTGGCATAGCACATAAAAGCTGCTGCCTGCAATGCCTGCATCCCATCCCATAATGGGTGCTGGTTTGTGTCCTAGCTGCTCCACTTCGAATCCTGGTCCTTGCTAATAGCCTGGGAAAAGTAGCAGAAGATGGTCCAGGTGCTTGGGCCCCTGCTACCCATGTTGGTAACCTGGAAGAAGTTCCTGTCCCCTGGTTTTGGCCTGGTAGGGACCCCGCTGTTGTAGCCATCTGGGGCGTGAACCAGCAGATGGAAGATACCTGTCTTTCCCTCTCTATCTTACTCTGTAAATAAATCTTTAAAAAAAAAAAAAAAAAAAAACGTATCATAACTTGAAGCGGTAGCCTGTTGATGTTTAGGCAGTTTCTAGTTGTCATTAATTTGTAGATGAAGAATATGAGTGTGATGAATGTTCATGTCTGAATATATTTGCACCTGGAGGTAAGATTACCAGATAAAAAGGGATAGTTATTTAAAATATTCTAACTTTTCTGACCAGTTTACATTTGCAGTACTTTGACATATTTCAAATAAATTTTAACATGGTATTATAATTTTAAAAAAATCTTTGATGATAACCAATATTTACTGGGCATTTTCAATGAGCCAGACAACTAAGCACATTATGTGTATTAACTCACTCTTTTTGATACTTTACAAGACATACTAATAGCTACATTTGTGGATAAGGAAAGATGACTGGTCATAGAGATAGCTTAAATGCTAAGCCAAGATTGAGCTAGGATTCAGTAGTACAGAACCATGTATTCAACAACTGTTGTATTGTCTCTGTCCCTGCAGCATTGTAGCTAATCATAAATCATGGTTTTGCTTTTATTTGAAAGTCTGAATGGCTAAGAGAGGAAGAAGCAGGTCTTCCAACTTTGCTGGTTCATGCCCCAAATAACCTGCAACAGCTGGGATAGGAGATGGGCCAGGCTGAAGCCAGGAGCCTGGAACTCCATCTGGGTTTCCCACCTGGCTGGCAGGACCGCAGTCGTTGGGCTGTCGTCTGCTATCTCCCAGGTACATTAACAAGAAACTAGATAGGAAGTGCAGAATAGCCACTATGTGACACAGAGATCCCAGGCAATGACAACCCACTGTACCACAACACTTGCCCCTGTTGCTCTATTTTAGTCCAAGAAACTTTTATTAATGCTGTTGACTTGTAGATTAAAGTAAATTGAAGCTTATGCCTGTGTGGTTATATAACTGTGATCCCAGTTTGTTTATTTATCAAAGATGATTTTATTTGAGAAGAAGAGACACAGAGAAAGAGTTCTTCAATCTGTGATTCACTTCCCAAATGGCCTCAACGGCTGGGCCAAAGCCAGGAACTCCATCCAGGCCTCCCACGTGAGTGACAAGGACCTAAGCTCTTGGGCCATCTTCTGCCATTCCTAGGTACACTAGCAGGAAGCTGGATTGCAAATAGAGCAGCTGTGACTAGAACTGGCATTCATGGGATACTGGTGTTGCAGACAGCTGCTTAACCCACTGTACCACAACACTGGCTAATCTTTTTTTTTTTTTTAATAAGATGTATTTATTGTTTGAAAGGCAGAGTT